CGCCCGGCTCATTTTTTCTCTATATTTATTTTTAGTTGTTTGCCTAATTTCTTTCTATTTTTTTTTAGTAGAGTCAGGGGTCTCGCTCTTGCTCAGGCTGGCCTCGAACTCCTGGCCTCCAGTAATCCTCCCGGCTTGGCCTCCTAGAGTTGTTAGGATTACAGGCGTGAGCCACCACGCCCGGCTAATCTTTTCTCTATATTTATTTTTAGTTGTTTACCTAATTTCTTTCTATTTTTTTTAGTAGAGACGGGATCTCGCTCTTTTCTGGCTGGCCTCCAACTCCTGACCTTTAGCGATCCTCCCTCCTCGGCCTCCCAGAGTTGCTAGGATTACAGGCGTGAGCCACCACGCCCGGCTAATCTTTTCTCTATACTTATTTTTAGTTGTTTACCTAATTTCTTTCTATTTTTTTTTAGTAGAGTCAGGGTCTCGCTCTTGCTCAGGCCGGCCTCCAACTCCGGAGCTCGAGCGATCCTCCCGCCTCGGCCTCCTCCCGAGTAGCTGGGACCACAGGATTGAGCTATAGCACCCAGCTTTTTTATGCCACTTCCTGGTCTACAACGATAAGTGAAATAACCGTTACGTTTTTCTGGAGGGCGTTAAAATCTGACTGTCGCTAAATTGTTCTCCAAAAACATTTCTTCGCCTTCGTGGACTCAAAGTGTCTCAAATCTTTTAATCTTTGCCGGTTTGATGGGCCCAATAAAACATGCACTAGAAGGAAATAATAGTTAATTAAGACCTTGCCTGTCTGAAAATGTCTTCATTCTATTTTTCCCTGATTTCCTTTGGTCCGGATGCTGAATTTCAGGTGGGAAAACCCTTTTAAATTGCGAACACATTTTTTTCTTACCTTCTAGATTAGATTTTTTTACTTTTGAGATGTCGGAATTTAGAGACATTCTGATAAGCCCCTCTCCCAATTTTTTTTTTTTTTTTTTTGAGACAGAGTCTCGCTTTGTTTTCCAGGCTAGAGTGAGTGCCGTGGCGTCAGCCTCACTCACAGCAGCCTCCACCTCCTGGCCTCGAGCGATCCTCCTGCCTCGGCCTCCCTCCCGAGTAGCTGGGACGACAGGCACGCGCCACCACGCCCGGCTCATTTTTTCTGTATATTTTGTTGGTTAATTTATTTATTTATTTATTTATTTTAGTAGAGAGGGGGTCTCGCTCTTGCTCAGGCCGGCCTCAAACTCCTGACCTCAAGCGATCCTCCAGCCTCGGCCTCCCAGAGTGCTGGGATGACAGGCGTGAGCCTCCGCGCCCGGCCTGGGCTTGATTTTTTTTTACTTTTTCTTTTTTGAGTCACAGTCTCGCCCTGTCGCCCGGGCTAGAGTGAGTGCCGTGGCGTCAGCCTCGCTCACAGCAGCCTCCAACTCCTGGCCTCCAGCGATCCTCCGGCCTCGGCCTCCCTCCCGAGTAGCTGGGACGACAGGCACGCGCCACCACGCCCGGCTC